GGAAATGAACAGACAAAAATAACAACAAATATGCATATTGAGCAACACAACATTATCTAGAAATGGCTGAGGAAGTAGCAATGTTGGGCATGAGAATATTCCACAGCTGAGAATGTTTAATTTTGAAAGAATGCTACACTTTGGTTTTTATCAATTTTGAATGAGATGATCAATAATTTCCTTCTCTGCTGTTGAAAACAATAACTTCAGAAATACTCTTACGTTCAATTAGTACCTCTTGCCTGAGGGATTACTCCCAACGTCACAAGTGTTTCCTTTAATAAACTGACGTCAGTTTGTTTCCTTGTCATCCATCTTAATATAACAGCGGATGTAAAACAGACTGGGGGAAGGCAGCACAGCTAGCCAGCTATGGAGAGCTCAGTGTTTTTCTACAATACTGCCTGAACCTCAGGCTGACATTAGCTTTCTTCAAAGCTGACTTTGGTTTCATGAAACCAGCATGTTCCCCTGGGTCATCTGAAATCGGAGGAGCATTCCAAGGGGCCTGTATATTACTAAGCTGGCTTTATTCCATTCCCTCCACTGGCATCAGAAGGAATCACTGACATCCTGTGGATTGTTACTCTTTGCCTTCCAAGGCCATTCAAGCCATGTGGCAACAGCAGGAAGGACTCCGCAGAGACCTATATCCCAGGTAGTGGCTTGTGGGGACTTTTTCTTTTCATATGACTTCACAAAAGACTTGGTACTCAGATGCCTACAAAGGGACAACAAATACACAAAACCCATAAACATACATAGAAACTACAAAATGTCTTTCTTAATGGAGCCCCAACGATCACTGGAGTATCTAAGCTGCTTACAGCCAACAGCCCCTGCCCCACACCACCCCACCTTAAGGACCTTGGTATATGGGTGTGAGTTGGGTGGCAGGAAACAAGGGCTGGGGGGGAGCGGCGCACACACACCAGAAGACAAGGGATACAAGTCACTCAGGTAGCATCACCAAGTGACAGGGAATGACAAGAATGAGACACCGAAACCTATTTCATCAGAAGAAACACACGGATAGACCTGATTGTCTTCCGACATTTCTGACAGATGTGCCAGGAGACATCATATCCCATTAGCTCCTTGTGGGTAGATCCTATTGCCGTGTTCATCTGTGCTATCTTCCAGAACACTTAGGTAAGCACAGGGGCTTACATTTTTCTCATTTACACAGAAGTTAATCTTATTTGATTTAGGACAGAAAAAGTAACTCCATAAATGGTTAATATCATTCACCATTGTTAATATGGCAAAGATTCTATGATTATGTTTCAGCACTTATCACAATAAAATGAGTTTGCACTCTCTCCAAATCCTCTACAAATACAGCAATTTCGAGAATATGTAAACATGAAATCTTTCCTAACACTTACAGGTATTCAGACTTGCTAAAAACTCACAAATTCTGTAGGAAAAATTCTAGCAGGGTTGGTTTCATGCTTGTGTCTCTTTGACTTGCTTGGTCTTTTGAACCCTCCATAGGAAATGGAATTTTTCTGACCAGGTTAAGATCTAAAAAATGCCCGGGGTAGCAATAAAAAGAAAACCTCAGACTAGGATTAAAACTTTCCTACGATGCTGCTGAAGAGCAGTGAACTAAATGGCAGAGGACATGCCAGGAAGTGAGTGCCTGCTCCAGGAACCGACAGGCCTAACAAGACTGAACAGGGAAATGGCTGGGGACTTCGGACAACAGAATGGGACAGCAGGAAGGACTGCAGTCTGGACAGATCTAAATACAGGTCTCTTGGGCCTATAAGAATTCCCCCATCAAACTTCCCCTGAAGTTTAGATGAAGGCAAACAGATTGTACAGTCTCATGGATTCTCCCAAGATGGTAGTTCTGGGACTCTGCTGGGTTGAAATCAAAGAAAACCCATTCACAACCCAAATACAACATAATCAAAATGGTGGAAGCTTGGAGGTTGGGGGCAGGGCTAATCACAGATGATGTCAATCTAACTAAAGCTATAAGCCAGCTGCTCAGGGATGTGAGAAGGGCCTTTCAGTTTGGTTATCTACAAGTCTCAGAAAAGGAAGCACAGAAAGGTTTATAAGTTTCAGTAGAGTTAGTCCCCTGCCTAAACCCAGCTGGTCGGGGTATGCTTCCTGCAGCTCCTCTATCTGATGCTGTGACTCTATTGTAAAAGAACGGACGACAGAAGAGACAGGGAGGAAGAGAATCAGGAGGGTGGGCAAGGACACAACTCAGAAAAGGCAGTAGGAGGTGGGTGTGTCATTGCTTACCCAAGATCACTCATTCCACCTAGTCCTCCCAGCCTGCAGCCAGGATACACACTCTCCTACATCAAAATTCATTCGGGGACAAAAACATCCCAACAACGTTTCTGGAAATATCTGAATTAACAAGTATTAAAAAAAATTTTTTTAATAAAAAATGGAAAAGTAGAATCTCCTAAAATTTTTGAAACTCAGAAGTTTATCTGTGTAAATGCATACAGATATGTATCTACAGATAGTTACACTTTCCTTGACTCCTAGTGGCAATGACAGTGGTCAACGTAGAATCGTTATGCCCTCCTTTAGGTGAGAGCTCAGCCTATCCTGTCACCTTCATTCTATCCCCTTCTTTCATACACTCCATGTAATGTGCTGCCAGATAGTCACTGCCCCTGCACATAACTAAGATCCATGCAGATGATGATGATGAACATTAAAAACTGAATCCATGAGAAAAATCAGCATGTGAATCCCATGTCTCTACATCAAGCCCAAACACTCTGGAAAATAAAGGAGTTAGGGACCCCAGTGCAACTGTACTAGTATACACGGGATTAACTCAACTGATCAAGACGTCAGATAAATTCACCTGGGTCTTTCCAGGTCACCAAAGAGTAGACGTCCACACTAGCGGAACAACAGGCAACAGTCCCAAGTACAGGCAATATTCTGCATCACTCTGTTTGCGGTATTCTTCCTCCTTAGAAATTACATCTGTACACTAATACCTGTATTCCAATGTACATATGCAGGTCTCTTCCAACCATCCTGATGCCCTGATGACTACAGCTGCAAGTAACAACCTTTTCCCACAAGGTTAAAATGTGGTTACATTTTGTATTTACTCCATCTCCCCAATTAAACCACAAGTCCTTAAAAAGACGTCGCACCCTCTACTATGCATACGTGTCACCTAAACACAATCAAAAGCAAGAGGCAAGCCAGATGAACAATTGTTAAGTGGACAGAGTGGAAAGGCCCAACAATAATGAAAGCTAGACAGAGATTTCAATCATGTCTAAGCTGTGCTTGTCCTGAGCCTCTACTTCCCAGTGAATCCAGAAGGCAAATGACGGTTCAGTGCACAGGCACCAAGGAGAAACATGAGCAGCATTCCTTTGCCTCCATCACTTACAGACAGCACTGATTTTCTGCCATTTGTAGGCAAGGCTTCTCTATCTTACAGGGTCTCAGTGGGTCCTAAGTAAAATAAGTCTAGTGGAGTAGCTGACAGAAGGGCAACAGAAAACAGCCATACCTCCTGACTCCCACTCTCTTTGCTTCTCTCTCCTCTTTCTTTCCTTTTCTTTTTTGAGACAGTCTCACTCTGTTGCCCAGGCTGGAGTGCAGTGGCACAATCTCGGTTCACTGCAACCTCCGCCTCCTGGATTCAAGCAGTTCTCCTGCCTCAGCCTCTCGAGTTCCAGAGGTGCGTGCCACCATGCCCAGCTAATTTTTTGTATTTTTAGTAGAGACGGGGTTTCACCATGTTGGCCAGGATGGTCTTGATCTCTTGACCTCGTGACCCACCTGCCTCGGCCTCCCAAAGTGCTGGCCATCATGCCCAGCTTCTTTCCTCTTTTCTTACACTTATTCCCCAACTCAGTGCAATTCCAATTAGTTCAGGGCTACCACTGTGCTGCCTCTGAAATCACTCATTTTTATACCTATTCTACATCCTCCAATGTCTACTGGACAACCGATGTTTAGTAACCCTTGTTACTTTGGTCAGGGAATTGCCTACAATTACAACCTCACTGTGCATTTCCCCTTCTTCAAGTTATCTCCCTTTAAGAAGTCCTCATCACCAATGCCAGCTTTATGTTTTCGGGGCACAACTCCATTTAGGTCACTTCTCTATTGAAAAACCACTAGGCGGCTGGGCACGGTGGCTCACGCCTGTAATCCCAGCACTTTGGGAGGCTGAGGCGGGTGGATCACGAGATCAGGAGATTGAGACCATCCTAGCTAACACGGTGAAACCCGTCTCTACTAAAAATACAAAAAATGAGCTGGACGTGGTGGCGGGTGCCTGTAGTCCCAGCTACTCGGGAGGCTGAGGCAGGAGAATGGCATGAACCCGGGAGGTGGAGCTTGCAGTGAGCTGAGATCGTGCCACTGTGCTCCAGCCTGGGCGACAGAGTGAGACTCCATCTCAAAAAAAAAAAAAAAAAAAAAGAAGAAGAAGAAGAAGAAAGAAAGAAAAACCACTAGGCGCTTTCTATAGCCAACTTATTCATATAAGATGAGTTTCCTCGCTGTGATACCCAAGCTTCTGCTCCTGCCTTTTCTCCTCCTCCTCCTCCACACTATACACGCAAGGGGAAAATTAGTCCACTTCAGAATGGATGTGCAATTCCATAGGAGGAATGATAGTTTTCTTCCTACACCGTAGCTACCTGCCAAAATCACGTTAGTAATTAAAGGGGGGCACGGGTATTGTTTCACCAAATCTTGACCATCCCCATGTAGATATGGTCTTTTCCTGTTCCGATGCCTGTTCATCTGCAGTTCTTATAGAATTTACCATCATCTCCACAACATCAGAGTATCTGCGCTCACCTATAACACCCTGGACTACACTAAACTATACTAATAATCCCTTTGCCCATGAAGTATCTGGCCCTGGAGAAGCACCCAGAACGAGCTTTGCCTTCATCTCATCTCTTCTCAGCAGAGGCTCTCTTCCAGCTCTCACCAGGCGCTTTAGATTTTTTGTTATCCAAGTTCAACGGTGGACCTACCATGCCCGTTGTGAACATGTTTGTGGGTTTTTCCTTTCCTGGGGGTCGACTGGCATGAAGATGAAGCATTGTTGGTGGCTGTTTTGACGTCTTCTGTCTCATCATCTTCCTCCTCGACTTCCTCCTCATCCTGAGAGCTTCCGAAATACACCATGCTGTTGGGCAGCGCAGGAGAACCTGGTGGAATAAGAAAAATAGCTCATAAACACAGGCCTTGACCCTCACCCTTTCCGGAAGGAATACCACAATGAAGACTAAACCTAAAGCCTCAAAACTGAGGAGAAAAAACAAAGCAACTGATCTCTACTGCCATTTTAAATTTTTTTTTCAAATACTCCCAAGATCATCTGCGCCTTTTGAACGTATTTCAAGCAAAATCCCCCAGCAGGAAGAAGATGCAAAACAGAACAAATCAGGAATTTTAAAATCGCATCTGAATATCTCTTGAGAAAAAAAAAAAAAACACCTCCAAGGATGGAACAAAAAAAATAATAAAATAAAAACACCTACCCACGGCTGAGGAAGGAGATTACTCTAAATTAATAGACTTTAAAAAAAAAAAAAAAAAAAATTGGCCGGGCACGGTGGCTCAAACCTGTAATCCCAGCACTTTGGGAGGCCCAGACGGGCAGATCACGAGGTCAGGAGATCGAGACCATCCTGGCTAACACGGTGAAACCCCGTCTCTACTAAAAAATACAAAAAACTAGCCGGGCGCGGTGGTGGGCGCCTGCAGTCCCAGCTACTCGGGAGGCTGAGGCAGGAGAATGGCGTAAACCTGGGAGGCGGAGCTTGCAGTGAGCTGAGATCCGGTCACTGCACTCCAGGTTGGGCAGTCACTGCACTCCAGGTTGGGTGACAGAGCGAGACTCCGTCTCAAAAAAAAAAAAAAAAATCAAAGAAAAGACGATTAGAGAAGCTAGAAGTAAAAATGGAATATAACATTTCATTGTATAAAATCACTGTGCTGTATTCATTAGGAATGAATGGTGGATACGAGTTCCCCAAACTCCAATGGTTTTGGAAGCTACTTTGATGTCCTGATTAGGTTAACTGGATGCAAAATTACCCAAATAAATTCCTACGCTGTACTAAGTAAAAGTGCTGAATTTGAAATAAAAAATGAAAAAATAAACCTCCCAACATGAAAACCGACCTCCTCACCCTTACACTTTTACATCTTAACCTTGCATCCTCAAAGGTTCTCATTCCGGATTTTAAAGTAACAAAAAAACAAGCTCAATATCATTACTTTTCTAGACAGGGTCTGGTTCTGTTGCCCAAGCTGAGTGCGGTGGTGCAATCACAGCTCACCGCACCCATTACTGGGGTCAAGCAATCCTGTAGGCTGGAGCTACAGGCGCACCACCACACCTAGTTAATTTTTTATAATTGTTGTAGAGATGGAGTCTTGCTATGTTGCCCAGGTTGGTCTGAAACTTCTGGACTCAAGCGATCCTCCTGCCTTGGCCTCCCAAAGTGCTGGGATTGCAGGCGTGAGCCCCCATGCCCACGCTTAGGCTCAATATTCTTTAAAAAAAAAAAAAAGCACAATATAGTTCTTCTTTATCAAACAAAGGCAATTCAGGAGATACAATCAAGTCATCCGTACATTATTTGGAACCAGAGGCTTCTAAAACACAAACAAAATCCCCTTCAGATAATAGTAGAAGAACTAAATAGGAAATTCATGTCTTCTCTTGCCTGCCTGCCTATGAATGAGCTAAAAACACTCTGGTAACATCAATGAAGAGACAAATCACCAATTCACTCTCCTATCTAAATAGAGATCTCAAAGATCACAAGGTTTAAACACACAGTTAAAACCATTTCTGTCCAGCTTTGGAACTATATGCTCAGCGACAAGGAAATGGAAAATGAGCAGTATCAGGAGCTGAAATGGCAAACCAAGCATCCATCTCCCCAAAATGCAAAGAGTACGTGGGACCTTCAACCCCTTCCTTTTCCTACAGGCATCTTCATGACCTACCAATGTTCAAAATCCCCCCAAATTATGTGAACCACATCACTGACTGGATATGCAACTTCAAAGGGATGTAGTCAGCAGAAAGACCCTCTGTAGACAGAAGATTTCAACTTGGTCTCACAAAAGCCATTTTGATGTTTTGTTCCCCTCCCCTTAATTGTCTCCATTTAGAAGTAGATTCTGGACAGAAAGAAGGTTCTTAAACCTGACACAGACTTTGGGGAAAATCAAATAGAAGAGGGAGTAAAATAAAGAGTCAGGAGTTAGAGAAAAAAATATCTACCCCCATTTCCACTGGACCAAAATATACGCTCAATCCAAATGGTTTTACAGTTAGTACAAGACTGACTAGGAAAACAGGAGGCTAATTAGCATGATTTTCAGTACAGTATCACCATTTGTGTGTATAGACAGGTTATCTACATAGTCAAATATAACAACATTGTTGATCCGTCCTCCCTAAATCTACCTTTACACGTATTTATGAAAAAGCAAGAGTAAGTACAGCCCTCAAAAAATGTTCAAATCATTTTACTATTGATCTAACATATGCTGTCAGTCATACTATTAGGAAAGAACTTGTAAGTTTTAGACTCTGCCATTAAATTTCCCTCTTTTAAAAGGTTAAATAGTTCCTTCCAGATAAAAATAGCCATGCTTAATTTCTTTTAAAGCACAGCCTTCCTATATTGTATCTTGGAGGCAATGACTAGCAGCTGAAATCCAAACGATGGAACGGTATAAAAACAGCAGGTTCTTGTGTAGATCTTTCTTATAGTAACTTCTGCAGCCAATTCAACCATTTGTTAGAGGGAAACAGTAACAGGAGGAGCAGGAGGGACTGAAAAGTTACAGGCATGTTTTTCAAGAGGAGAGCCATCACCCCTCCAGCCTTCCTCTCTCCCCTCAGTTGCAAAGGCAATAAACTCCACAAATGAGGCCATGTGGGAGCAATATAAAAATACAGCAATAAGGCCGGGCGCGGTAGCTCATGCATGTAATCCCAGCACTTTGGGAAGTCGAGGCGGTGGATCACCTGAGGTCAGAAGTTCGAGACCAGCGTGGCCAATATGGAGAAACTCCGTCTACTAAAAATACAAAAACTAACAATACAAATGGGGATGCACATTTGTAATCCCAGCTACTCAGGAGGCTGAGACAGGAGAATCACTTGAACCTGGAGGCAAAGGTTGCAGTGAGCTGAGACCACACCACTGTACTACAGGTTGGGCAAGAGAACAAGACTCTGTCTCAAAAAAGAAGAAAATACAGCAATAAGACCCAATAAAAATATTCTAAGATTCAAAGAGAATCAGGTAAAAACCCATGTAAAGCATATTAGAAATAAGGAATTAACTTCCACTTAACAGGATCTGTTGAGGATTTTTTAAAAACTCAAACATTAGAGAAGCAGCATGAAGCAACTATCACATTCCTCACACTCAAGATGCTGAGAGAAAGGGTGAGGATTGAGTTTATGTTGCAAAGAACTAAAACGGAGAAAACATCTAGACGCTCAGTTCAGCATCCAGACTTCGTTGGTATCCACAAAGGATAATATATTGTTTTTGAGACAAGGAATCACTCTGTCACCCAGGCTGGAATGCAGTGGTGTGATCATGACTCACTACAGCCTTGACCTCCTGGCTGCAAGTGATCCTCCCACCTCAGCCTCCTGTAGCTCGGACTACAGGTGCACACCACCAAACCCAGATAATTTTTTCATTTTTTGTAGGAATGGGGTCTCGCTATATTGCCAAGGCTTGTCTCAAACTCCTGACCTCAAATGATCTTCTCATCTGATCTCCCATAGCACTGGGATTACAGGAGTGAGCCACCATGCCCAGCCCATAGATGATAATTTTTTAACAAAAGCAGAAAACAACCAATATTATGAATGGATTTGTTTTAATGGCTCCTCCACAAAAACAAATAGGTGATGTGACCTGCTGAGTACTGGGAAAGAAAGTGAGGGGCTAAAATAGAAGAAATGTAAGATTAGAAATAGAAGACCAGTGAGGAATAAGGGCAATTCGGAGGAACTTGCTCTCAAAGTAAAACCTTCTAACAGTATTAAGTCCCTCTGACGGAACTAGTCCTGAAGTCAGAGGTGGGAAAGAACACCATTTCTCCTACATATGGGGACAAGGAAAAACGGATTGTTTTCAACCCAGAAGATGATTCTGCTTCTATTCAGATGATTGGCACGTTGGTCTGGATCTAAAGGTAAAGTATCAACAAAGAAAAATGGGTAATGAAGGATTCGTAAATCAAACGGGGAATCAGGAGGTAATATGTTGGAAGAAAGAAGACTTGGAAAAGCGAAAGTATAGGAAAGGGATTGAAGCAGAATAAAAATGAACTCCAGGAGAGGAGGTCGGTTAACCACCACCAAAGTTCCCTTAGTTCAGAGGTTAAGTTTGTACCCCTTCTTCTCACTGGTGGGTAACCCACAAGGACAACACTGCCGTCCCCCCCAGCCGCCACCCCCGCCAGCCCCGCCAGCCTGCACATGACCTGACTGTCCTCCTAGGCATCATCCACCAAGGGCAACTGCCAATCCATCCCCCATCCACCGAGCACTCACGAACAATCGACATCTCCCCTGGAAGGAACAGACATCCAGAATTTGGCCAGGCACCCTCAAACCTGTCCATCTCATTAACCTCATAGACAAACTGAAGTAGGTACAAAAGAATAAAGCCAACAGAGTATAATGCTGCACATGCCAATGCTCTGTCACCACGCGGTTGCTATAAATCCCTGTAAGAATCCTGCTGGCATGTCCACTTGAAAATCGCAGAGGGGTCAAACTGTCATTCCAGACCCAGAGAAGCCACAGAACTGGCAAAAATGAGGCCAAAGTGGGTTCTTTTTCTCTCATTGAGACAAATGCAGTAACATCATCTCATATTTCATGGGAAAGTAAAAATGATCACAGTGATAGAAAAGGACTGAATGAAGTAACAGCTCAATAACAACCTCAAATGTGTAAGACACAAAGCATCTTAGAAACTACAATTAAGACATTTACATAAAGAGCATTTATTTCTTCTTTACCTAGATACAAGCTTGATTATCTCTTTCAGAACTAAATGCAGAGGAGGAAGAATCTGCTGGATACAAACAGGATGAAGGAAAGGATATTTCAAACCCCTCAAAGACACACAGCAGACCAGGGTGTTTATCA